CTTTTGCCACCTGCTGTGCAAGCGCAAGGACCCGAGTTCGATCCCCGGTACCAAAAAATAAATAAATAAATAAATAAATAAAATAAGATAGGTACCAAAATGAGGAGGAAAAAAGGATTAAAAGAAGAAAAATAAGAGAGTAAGACTTCAGAGTGGTGGCTTTGATTCTTGGTGTCACCCAGTGTCATGAGAATGTGAATTTGGGAAAAGAACATCCTAGGGAACATTAGAAGGAATGGAAAGCTTCCTTCTCTTACCTATGATACAAGACCTAGGTAGTCTGCTGACCAAGGGATGATGTGAGGTGACAAAATAAGACATTAGGACTGTGCCTGGTAAAAGTTACATGTGCATGAAACAGACTGCCCAAAATGAAGTGTAGAAGCCCACAGTCATGTTACCACACTGCTGAAAGAGTAAGAAGGACTGGGGCAGGGGCGAGAGACAGGAAAAGAGAATTTTTTTATTTTTGAGACAGGGTCTGGCTATGCAGTTCAGGCTGGCCTCAAAATTGCAACAATCTTCCTGTCTCAGCCTCCTGAGTGCTGAGATTCCAGGTGTGAACCACCATGCCAAGCAAAAAGAACTTTTGGGCCGGGGATTTAGCTCAGTGGTTCTGGCGCCTGCCACGCAAGCGCAAGGTCCCAAGTTCGATCCCCGGTACCAAAAGAAAAAAAAAAAGAGAGAGAACTTTAAAACTACTCTTTAGAATGCGGGATTTAGCTCAGTGGTTCCACCACCTGCCTTGAAAGTGCAAGGTCCCGAGTTTGATCCCCGGTACCAAAAAAAATAAAACTACACTTTTGTAAATGAGAAAGGGATCCAGAGGTGGAGGAAGGGGAATGGAAGGGAAATAAAAAGAATCAAGATATGCCAGGGATTTAGCTCAGTGGCACTGCGCGTGCCTTGCAAGCACAAGGTTCTAAGTTCGATTCCCGGTACCAAAAAAAAAAGAATCAAGATATGTTGAGTACATACATGTACCTACTCCCTAAGATGAATGTAAACAATATGTACTGCAAATATGTACTAATAAAAAAAATTTTTAAACACATTCCATGTTGGTTTTTCCTTATTTACTTCACCTCTGTTTAGTGAACACTTAATGAACATCCACATTTACTTAACAAATATTTAATTTACACTAAATATTTAGTCACTGTTTCCCCAGTGCTCAGGCCCAGACATACTAATGAGGCATGACATGTCTGTGCTTTCCAGCTATCGAGGACACAGTACTCTTCCAAAACCCGGCATCACAGGGAGATCAACAAGCAAAGCCAGCCAAGAAGGTACCAGTGTTGGCACAGGGTGTAACTTTTGTTCAGATTCCAAATCCCGTTCACCTGGGAGGCAGGGTCCCCCTGGACTGTCTTGCCCCGCCTCCTTGTTTTGGTGATGTGGTCCACTGGCTCCACCGCAGCTTGTTCCTCACTGTCAATCTGTACCTCAGTCTCCTCACAGGAGGGTGTAAAAGCATGACTTTCATTCTGAAAAGAGAGACATTAATCCACCATGTCCTATATATAGAGTTACAATGCTCAGAAAGAACCGGAATTTAAACAGAATGAAAATCATATTACAAGCTGGGCATAGCAGAACAGCCAGTAATCCCAGCACTTGGGAAGCCTGAGCCAGAAAGGACTGCAAATTCAAGCACAGCCAGCACAATTTAGCATATTAGTGAGACTCTGTGTCAAAATAAAAGATAAAAATCCCAAACAGACCTGTTTATATAAGAAATCACTGGTAACAGTTGCCCTTAGTGAGGAAGGTTGTGCTCATTATTCAACATACAATGCTAATTAACTATGTTTTTTATATTCTTGGTGAAAAGAAAGCTTACCCATTCTTTCACCCTAAAATGAAATCTGGCCAGGGATTTAGCTGAGTGGCACCACACCTACCTCACAAGTGCAAGGTCCTGAGTTTGATCCTCAGTACTGAAAAATAAATAAATTAATAATAATAAAAAAGAGCTGAGGAAAAATGAAATCTGAGAGATGAAAGATTTAAATGAAAAACTAGAAAAGCATTAGCAAAAAAGAAAAATAGGCAAATCTATTATTCTGACCGTGAAGGCCTTCTAAGCATCCTAGAAACGAAAGAGTTGATTTTGATGTTTGTATTTTTCTTTTCTTTTTGGTACTGGGGATCAAACTCAGGACCTTGCACTTGTGAGGCAGGTGCGGTGCCACTGAGCTAAATCCCTGGCCCATGATGTTTGTATTTTTCTTAAGTAAACTCTAGTTTTTCGTTTGTTTGGGTTTTTTGGTACCAGGGATCAAACTCAGGACCTTGTACTTGTGAGGCAGGCAGCAGAACCACTGAGCTAAATCCTCAGCCCAAACTCCAGTTTTTAAAAATTAACTCATATCTATATCCATATATCCTTTTAAAAAAAAAACTTCAAATGCATGTGAATGCCCTGGGTTTGATCCCTAGCACAAAAATACAAAACAAACAAAAACCCTAAACAATCAAACAACCCAATACTAAAGAATAGATTACAGTGAAAAGCAAATTGCTCTTTTTAAGGCTTAGTTCAAGTGGCTATTTATATATCATTAGGTATTTTTTGTTGGCATATTTATATTCTCAATAGCTCAGTGCCTGTAATGTGTTAAAATTTGTACTGCTCCACTCACACTATTAAATAGATTTACAGCTTTGTTTCTTTTTTCATTTTTTGCAACAGGTCTTAGTATACAGTCTTGACAGGCATTGAATTTGCCATTTGACCAGGTTGGCCTTGAACTCACAATGATCCTACTGCCTCAGCTTCCCAAGTGCTGGGATTTGTGGTGTGTGCCATCGAACCTTGTTTGTAGCTTCCCATCGACCTTTTTCACCCCTAGTCCTGGGGATTGATCCCAGGGCCTTCACACTGAGCCCCACTCCCCACAGCTTTGTTTAAAATTTTGAAACAGGGTCTCACTAAATCACTAATTTGCCTAGGTTGAGAGCCAGTCATTTAATTTCCTTCCAGAGAAATCTTCCAAGATTTTAGAGGGTACTCTACTCACGGAAGAAAGGGGAGGCTGCTTTTCTGTCTTGATTTTCAGTCCATTTCATGTGGACTCCATCCCCTGATAGTCTATTTAGTTGGTCTAGGGTTTGGTGAGGTCTACACATCCATATTTTTTAAAGCTCCTCAAATGATTCTCCCATATGCCATATTTTCCCAAAAATAAGACCAGGTCTTAAATTAATTTTGGTTCCAAAAGACACAATAGGGCTTACTTTCAGGGGATGTCTTATTTTTTTCATGCACAATAATCTACACTTACTCATTTACAACAATCTGTATTTATTCATGTACAAAAACTGACATTTATTCAAATATAATCATGTCATCATCTTGTGGAACACACCCATAACTCTCCAAACCCCAAATTCCAGCCTGAATTTCTTGCAACTCCATTTCCTGTAAAACCTCTGGCCCCACTCTCTCATGTCCAGCAATAGAGCCCTCCGTAAATGAGCACTTCCTGTCCATGTAGCCTGCTCCTAGTGCAGTGACAACACAGCTGTCAGTGATTTTATCCCATGACACCTGCATCCGAGTCACAACTTCCTGCAGGCTGGGCTTCACAGAGTTTCCATGTGATTAAGTGTGAATTGAAGACTTACGAGACAAGAGTAGCAACAAAAATGACATTAAGAATGATGGTCCAGGGGCTGGGGATTTAGCTCAGTGGTTCTGCTGCCTGCCCTGCAAACGCAAGGTCCCAAGTTCGATCCCCCGTACCAAAAAAAAAAAAAGAATGATGGTTCAGGGCTGGGGATTTAGCTCAGTGGTGGCACCATGCCTACCTGGCAAGTGCAAGGTCCCAAGTATGGGGTGGGGGGGGTGGGGGGGAGATGATGATGATGATGATGATGGTCCACACAAAAGCAATGAAAAATTGCAGGCATCAAAATTCAGAAAACTGCCTGGTGCGGTTGTGCACACCTGTAATCCCAGCACTGAAGAGGCTGAGGCAGGAGGATCAGTGCAAGTCTGAGGCCAGCCTGCGCTGCATGAGTTCAAGGCCAGCCTGAACTACATAGCAAGGCCTTGTCTCAAAAAAAAAAATCAGAAAACATTTATTTCACACGACTACATTAAGTACATCTGTTACAACACATGCCGCATTGAATTGTGAAAAGTCGTATTAGACACGCCACATCCATTCACTGTCAAGTTAAATGTTATTCGTGCGTTGTCTGTGCTCCAGTTGGTCACTCAGCAGTAAGTCTTGAGTCCAAAGGCGCCTGCTTGGGACTTCACTTAATTATAATTTATCACTTATTTTAAGTAGTAATGTCAATATTATTTATACTTAATTATATATTAATATTATTATTTTATAATTCAATACATCTGTCATGCATTGCAAGTACTCAATGCATCCATCTGACTGATGATCTTAACTGGGCCTTATTTTGGGGAGCTGGCTTATATTATAAGCATCCTGGAAATCATACTAGGGCTTATTTTCCAGTCAGATTTGATTTTCGGAGAAATAAGGTTGAGAACTACAATATTAAACAAATACATTGTGAGTAAAATAATAAAGATGCTTAAAATGTGGAAGGCTTTAGATAGAGGTGAAGTACTGTAGATGTGATGCAAGGCCCAAGAGAAGCCCTAGGAAATGGGTGACTAAGGAAGCACAGGAGCTAAGGGGCCTAGAGTTGAGCACAGAGGCAAGGCTGTGGAACAGACATCATGATGGGCTTTTGAACGCTCCCCAAACAAGGCGGTGGCGCACACCTGTCATCCTAGCACTTGGGAGATCGAGGTAGGAGGATTGCTGTGAGTTCAAGGCCAGCCTGGGCTACATATCAAGAGCCCATCTCAAAAAAAAAAAAAAAAGAAAGATGACTACACGGGGAACCCAGAAAACAACTCAGAGATCAACAGATAAAGGATGAGAAGAGGTGAGCAAAATTTCAAAAGAGAGAAGATTTTCTCAAGAGTGGAAAGATGCTATCTGGACACCACTTTCCAGGGAAGAAAGTAAAAGAACAAACACTTTCCGTGGTAAGAGTGGTACCGTTGGGTTCTACATATTGCTGGGACATGTAAGGACACTTTTAAATGACTTACCATCCTTGCCCCATCCCACATCAGCACAGGTCCTAGGCCAATTATTAGGACCGGTCCTTCCACTGGTTTCAATATCAATGACATGAATCCCTGAGGTATCGTGTTTTAATCCCACGTACCTCCCCATGGTGTGTCAGCCTGGCCATCTGAGAACAGCCAGGGAGCAGCAGTGCGTGCCTTCCTGAAGCGAGCTTCCTTTCTTCTGACGGACTTGTCTGAGGCACACATGGCCCACAGGAGGGAAACTCTAGCACACAGTAACCTACACCCAGACGGGCTCTAACTCGTGGATGTAAGGCTGGCTTGCAGTGAGAGGAGGGCCTCCATGCTTCAGTGTGACTCCACCCACACAGAAGCCACAGCCATGCAATCCCCAGGCAATGATCTGGAGATCCCAAAGCTCACACATATCTATCCTGGGTAAGATTAATGAAGTCTTTTCCATAAATTTGGACTTGGCTAATTTGTTTTCGTATCCCTAAATTCCCTTAATTCTCTTGATTTACGCAAGGGTTTTCTATATCAGGTCATCCATCAAAGATCATTACCAGATTTATCACTTAGGAATCCTACATCTGACCGAACTTTTACTATTACCCCGCTCAAAATGGAATAGCTCCAGATGTTGAATTTGAAATAATACATCATTTAGATCCCCAGCACTACAAAAAACAAAGCCTTGCATATGCCAGGCAAGTGCCCTACCCCAAAGTTTTGAAATGTCTATAAAGTGGAATATAGAGCTACAGAGACTACAAAGACAGGGCGAAGTTTGATTTTCAGCTCACGTTTATATTTACCTTCATTTCCAGGTGTTTTTTTTGGTACTGGGGATTGAACTCCGGTCCTTGCGCTTGCACAGCAGGCAGTGAAACCACTGAGCTAAATCCCCGGCCCTATTTCCAGATATATAACCGATCTCTCCAATGCCCCAAAGTTCTAAGGGCTTGCAACATTTTCCTCAATTTCAAGTCAGGAATCTTGCCCACTGCTCCATTTACGTGTCACGCTGTATTAAGATTGTGGTGTGGTTCTCAAACAGCCATGACAACTCTGGATTTTTAATTCAGCAGAGTACATACATTTTCCTTTCTTTTTTTTTTGGTACTGGGGATCGAGCTCGGGACCTTGTGCTTGGGAGGTAGGCAGGAGCACCACTGAGCTAAATCCCGGCACAATTTCCATTTTGAAAAAGGGAATTTGAATTTTTCAAGGTCAAGTAAAGAAAGGAGAGTAGCCAGGGTCTGACTTCAAATCGAGTTCACTCCCTATTAGTCATGGTATCTCTCACACCATTTGGCATCTAGTAAATAACTTCTGCGACTGTATAAGGACATCTGCCACAAGCTGTCTCAGCATTTGTAACAAATAATTATCAAAAGATTCAGTCCGAGGCACTATCATCAGTAATGATTTGTTTGTTAACAAGCAGCATGTCTTGATTTAAATCATCACTAACTGGTATTAATAGTTCATTAACCAAAGATGATTATTTTACTATAGGTAATAATAAAAAATATTACTCACCTGACTCATATTTTCTTTTTTTGCTTCCTGTTTAAGGTGGGTTTTCAAAGCCTTTAACAGCTTGTCTGCCTGCAAAAAAAGACCTTATCATAAGAGCTAAAGTCCAATAATAAGACAGATGTGTTGAACATATTTCGCTGTTCCTGTATTCATTAAATGTACTCAGGTCAGTGCTCACTCTGGCAGCACATATACTAAAATTTACTCCGGTCAGAGGTAGGCATGGTGGTGCAGACCTATAATTCCTGCACTCTGGGAGGCCAATGCAGAAGGATTGCAAGTTTGAGCCTACCTTGGCCAACTTAGCTAGATTTTATGGCCAAAAAGAAAAAAATGCTGGGGGGCTGGGCATGGTAACACACACCTATAATTCCAGCACTCTGGAGGCTGAGGCAGGAGGATCACCATGAGTTTGAGGCCAGCCTGGGCCATACAAGGAGTTCAAATCCAGCCTGAATTACATAGTGAGACCCTGTCTCACCCCCCCAAAAGAGAGAGACAGAGAGGAGAGAAAGCTGGGAAAGTGGGTAGGCTGATCACGCCAGCCTGCTTTATACTAAGTCTCACAGAGTATGACTCTTACCCTTGGGGCAACCCTAGGGCAAAGTTGGCAGCAGGGCAGTAGGTGACCAGATGGGCATCACTCAGGATGATCACTTTGGCCACACAAAGTACAGGATGCATGTGATGGAGCTAAAAATAAAGACAGGGCCATAGGCAGGAAGCTGTTTAGGAAACCAGAAATGACTGGGCCGAGTTAGAGTGGGGCTAAACCAGTAGAGATGGATGCAAAACCCTAAGAAGTAAAATCAAAGCAAACATGGGAACTAAAGAATAGGAAAACTTTGTAGCTGAGTGTGGTGGTTCATGCCTGTAATCCCAGTTTCTCAGGAGGCTGAGGCAGGAAGATTGAAGTTTGAGGGTAGCCTGGGCAATTTAGCAAGGCCTTGTCTCAAAATAAAATTAGGGAATCAAGGGCAGGGATTTCTCTCAGTATTAGAGTGCTTGCTTAGCACACACAAGGCCTGAGTTCAATCCCCAGCACTACACACACACACACACACACAGAGGCACACAGAAAAATTTTTTTTTTTTTTTTGGTACCAGGGATCAAACTTGGGTCCTTGCACTTGCATAGCAGGCAGTGAAACCACTGAGCTACATCCCCCGCCCCATGGAAACTTTGTTAAGTCCAGGTTTCTAGCTTGGGCAGCAGGGGGTGTGGAACGTGAAAGGTGAGGCAGGTCTTAGGGGAGGATGGTTATTGGTCCCTGGGGGTCAGGGCACTCCTAGCTTCTCTTCTCACCCTAAGAAGCCCTCTTTCTTCTCTGCAAGAGGAATACCCATCTGACTGGTTACATTTTCAAATGTAAATGTAAAGGCTGGGTTCTCTTTCTCACCCTCTTCCGTGAAGCCGCGCAGTCCAGGACTAGAGACTTCCTTTTCTAAGGCGGTCCTGCCCTTGGGCTTCTCAAATGGTATGAGAAGAATCTCAGACCATTTATCACTGGCCAGTACTCAGTAGAGAATGGCAGAGATCTTGAAATTGGCTTTGGGCATTTTGGCACAGCAGAGCTGTTGCTTAGAGAGTGGGCAATCTCCACCCCATTTTTATCAGAATTCTCAGTATCAAAATACCAGGCACTACCCCAGCTAGAAATAACGCCATAGTGCTTATTTCCTTCTTGTTCCTCGAACAGAGCTCTCTTGGAGTCTTTTCTGGGAAGGGGTTAATTGGCAAGGCAGAATTGAGGCATTCTTCTTTCTGACTCTAAACTCTTCCTTTCTCCCTCCCTCCCTCTCTCCTTTCTTTCTTGTCCTTCCTCTTGTCTTTTTCCTTTCCTTTCTTTTCACTCCCTCCCTCCCTCCTTCTTGCAGTTTTTTTTAGACAGGGTCTTACTACGTAGCTTAGGCTGGCCTTGAACTTTCAATGATCCTCCTCTGGGCTCAGCCTCTCAAATGTTGGGATTATAGGCGTACACCACTACACCCAGCAGTCTCTTCAATAGCATTTATTCTGCTGGTCACTACTGTAGGGAATAGAGAGATTGGTAAATAAAAGACAAGGTTTCTGCCTTCCAGGAGATTCTAGCAGAGGACAGATGGGCAAATAGCCTATTAACCTAGTAAGCTAGACATAAATGATAGACTGTCAGGTACTAGGAAGCAAAACCAAAATCAGCAGTGCAGTGGGAGTGCTCTTTGAGGGAGGGGTGGTGACAAGCTGAGACATGACCGGGAGAAGAGGCAGCAGGTGAAGCTGGAGGGACAAAGCACTGCAAGTAGAAAAGACACCGAGTACCGAGGCCTCGAGATGAGCTGATTAGTGTGAAGGACAGAAAGCAACCAGCACGAGCTGCCATGTGGTGGTACATGCTCTAAGCACAGATGCCCAGGAGGATCAAAAAGTTTGAGGCCCGCCCAGGCAGCTCAGTAAGTGCTTATCTCAAAATAAAAAATAAAAAGGGCCGGGGATGTAGCTCAGTGCTCCCTGGATTCAATTCCCAGTACTGCAAAAAAGAAAAAAGAAAACGGAAAGGAAAGAAAAGGGGCCAGCATGGCTAGAGAAAGGTGAGTGGAGGGCAGGGAGGCGAAGAGGTGACCACAGGCCAGGTGAAGTGGAGACTCGTGGGCCACGGCCAGGAGTGTGGCTTTCTTCCCTTAACTGGTGTGAAAAATGTCATCGGGCTCATAGAAAAATCCAAATGATATAATGAATGTCCTTATATTCCCCACCTAGATTCAATAATTATTTCATCTCATTTTCTTATATATTAATATATATATTTTTTGCCAAGCTATTTGCCAGTACATTCTAGACATGATATTCTGCCACACTGAACACTTAAGTCATATCTCCTAAAAAAAAAAAAAAAAGAGGATAATTTTCCTATATAACCGCTAAGAAAAGCAATATTTCCTAATAGCATCTAATATATATGCCCCAGAATGAAATTTCTCAATTGGCTGGGTGGTTACTGGAGCTTTATCACTATATGCCCAGGGCCTTCATTCACTACATCCTCAGCTTTTTTTTATTTTTTAAGTTTGAGGCAGGGTCTTGCTAAGTAACCCAGGTGGGCAAGAACTTGGAATCTTCCTACCTCACCTGGCCAGAGTGGTGGGATTACAGAACTATGTTGCCACACCCAACTGACTGTCTCCAATTTTGGTTTTATTTTATTTTGCGGTACTAGGGATTGAACCTAGGGCCTTGTACATACTAGGTAAGTGCTCTACCACTAAGCTACATCTCCAGCCCTTGGTTTTATTTTTAAAAGTATGTTTTCAAGATCAAACCAAATTTCTTGCTTTACAGTTGGGTTAGTCTGGATTTTTTTTTTTCTGGTACCGGGGATCAAACTCAGGACCTTGTGCTTTCAAGGCAGGTGAGGTGCCACTAAGCTAAATCCCTGGCCCAAGTCTGGATTTCATTTTATTTATTAAATTAATTTATTTATTTTCTCCAGTACTGGGGATTGAACTCAGAGCCTAGCACCAAGCTATATCCTCAGGCTTTTTAATTTTGGGAAAGGGTCTCCCTAAATTGCCTAGACTGACCTGGAATTTGTATTGCTCCTGGCTCAGGATTTGAGCAGGTGGGATTGTTTACAGGAATGTACTATGGTGCATGCCCAGATTTTATTTTAGATGTGAGGGAAGTAACTGGAGGGCACTGAGCAGAAAAGTGACTTGTTCTAAGCTCCAAAAGCCCTCTGGCTACTGAGACACTACTACTGTGAGCTTGTGTACAGGCTGTAAGCCCAAGAGAGAACCTGAGGTCATCATCAGTAGAACATGTGATGCTGGTACTGCAGAGCTGGATTGGTACTCAGAGATCAGAACTCAGGAATACTCTAAAGCACTGACTAGGTACAGTGGGTGTGGGCAGTGAAGGGAGGGATCATAGGCAGTCTAAAGTGGGCCTGAAACATGCACAGACAGAGGAAGGGACCACTGACTGTGCTATAGAAGATAACACTTTAAGATCGGAGTGAGCAGCTCAGAGAGACATGGATTTGAGAGACATTAGCTGCTAGATGAAATTAGTTACGGGAATACATAAAATCAACAAGAGAAAACACAGAAAAAGAAGGCCAAGGAGGGAACCATAGGGCATTCTGCATTTTGAGGTTTATAGAGGAAAAAGCAGCCAAGAAGATGAGGAAAAAAATACAGGAGAAAATGAAAAATTGAAGAAGTATGGGAAAGGAAGTGGTTTGAGCAGACAGGAATGTTCAGTCATGCCAATGCTTTGGGCCAGAGCTGGACCAGACTTTGTAAGGTGGTGGCCTTGATATGATTAACTTCAGCAAAAAAGAACAGAGAAAAGGGCTGGGGATTTAGCTCAGTGGCACTGTACCTGTCTTGCAAGCGCAAGGTCCTAAGTTTGATCCCGGTACAGCAAAGAACAGAAAATGGGGCAATACATGGGAGCAGGGCATGACTGTATGTGGCATAGCAGCAACCCAGCAGAGTGGAGAAGTGGTGCAGCAGGTATTTTCCCAGAGGACAAAGGGCAGGGATCCTCAGCTTAAGTGGCAAGCTTTCTCACAGGTATAGCCTTTTATTGTGAAGGAAGGATGGGCAGACCACCACCCAGGTGCAGGTTGGCTGGAGGGTTTGGTGGTGGAAAGATGAGGTAATTCTCAGCTAACTGCATCTATTTTCCCATGACCCGTGAGGAAAAATTAACTGGGAAGGAAGGGAACCAATTTCAGGGAGAAAATAGAAAATAATTTGTCTCAAAATAAAGTTATGGGATACGCCCAGCTACCTAGGAGGCTGAGGCAGGAGGATCACAAGTTTGAACCCAGCCAGGAAAAATTACAAAACCCTACAATGAGGGCCAGGGATTTAGCTCAGTGGTTCTGCTGCCTGCCTTGCAAGTGGTAAGGACCTGAGTTCCATCCCCTGTACCAAAAACAAAAAACAAAAACTACCCCTACAATGTGCCAGATATTGTGATAAGAAATTCCCTGCCTCTAAGAAAACATTAATTAATTGGACACCCAGATCAGATGCCTCAAGAGAAACTAATGGTAGGGACTTTCAGAAAAAGATCTAACTTACAAGAGCTCCTCAAAGATCCATAATTGTGAGGCCTTAATGCTAGCAGAGCTCTGAACTCCAGGGAGAAGTCTCTCATAACCATTTCTTTTTTGATCAGCAGCTCAGTAGACTTCTGAGAGCAGCGGATCTTGCACAGCACCACAGTGCCAGGCCGGTAACGGTGTGGCTGCTTCACACCACTCGTAGCTGGTGCAGTCTTGCAGCCCATCCTGGCCCCCTGCTTATGTGGAACCTTACCGCCCGTCAACTTTTGAGCCATCTGCTTCGTGCGGGCCATGGCCCAACACAGCTGCTGGTGCTTCTTCGACTAACCCGCATTTCTTTTTTTGAGACAGTGTTTTACTATGTAGCCCAGGTTGGCCTCCAACTCCTGCCAAGGCTTCCTGAGTGCTGGGATATCCACATAAAATTCTCTCACCAACCAAATGATTTTCTGATGTACCATTCTGGCACTGTCAAGAAGCACTGCATAACATTGAGGCCATACTCTTAAGTGAAATAAATAGGACACACATGTGTAAATACCGAATAGTTTCTCTGGTGTGAGAAACTGAAAGTGTAAATAAGGGCTAAATGTATAATAGGTCATGTGAAATAGGAAAAAAAGGGCCAAAGGGGAAGGAAGTGGGAGGGCTAAGGGAAAGGATAGAAGGGAATGGGATTAATATGAGAAAATGGAAAAATAGGAACAAAATTTTTGTAAATAAGGAGGGCTGGAGGGGTTGAAGGGAGGGCTGGGCAAGGGTGAAAAATAAGAACCAAGAGAGACTATGTAAAGGTGCAAATTTCCAATGATGAATGTCATTATATTGTATACCTAAAATGTACCAATGATTAGAATGAATAATTGATAATGCAAAATAGGAAGAAAAGGTCCAAAGGGGTAGGGGTAGTGGGAGGGCCAGGGGAAAGGAAAGAAGGGAAAGGAAAAATGCTGAGAAATGGAAAAAATGGAAATAAAGTCTTTGTAAATAGGGAAGGGTGGAGGGGGTGAAGGGAGGGCTAGGAATGGGGAAAAAATAAGAACCAAGATGCATCATGTAAAGGTACAGTTCCCAATGAGAAATGTAACTGTGTTGTATACCTACAATGTACCAATAAAAGAATTTAATACAAAAAAAAAAGAAGCACTGCATAGTTCTGAATAATTATCCAGCATCTCCTACATAAAATGTATAGCACTTAGTGCTGTACAGACTTCCAAGGTGGGTGGATGAAATCACAAAGAAAGGAAATTAACCGTGTTTCCACATGCACGTGGAAATGACCAGGTTGCAAGGTGGAACCCAACAAATCCTGAAAGAGAACACTTGAAAAACACTAAAAAGCATAGAGGGTTTTTGGGATTGCTGGAGTGGTGGACCTATGGCCAAGGGAACAAAGAGGAGGGGACAACGTGCCAAGTCAGTGTCATTTCAGTTAGGCCATGAAGGATAGGTGGAAAGTACTAGTGCAGATGAACAAGGAGAGAAAAGGGAAAAGGGTCAAAACGGAAGATGCCACAGATGGGCAAAGTGCCAAGGAAGGGGACGCAGAATTTGATAAAAGACTCCAACTGCACAGTAAAAATCTATGGGACCTAGCTGAGTGTGGTGGCGCAAGCCCGTGAGCCCAGCACTCGGGAGGCTGAGGCACATGAGTTCAAGGACAGCCTAGGCTACACAGTGAGTCCAAGGTCAGCGTGAACTACACAGTGAGACCTTGTCTCAAAAAAAGGCTATGGGACCTAACCTAAGAAATGAAGGCTTTATTCATGAAGTTCCCCGGGAGCCATTAAACACACTATAGTCTAGCTGGGCAAGTTGGCGCACACCTGTAGTCCCAGCATTCTGGGAGGCTGAGGCAAGAGAATCCCCACCTGGGCAATTTAGTGCCTTAGACGGTCTCTATTACTACTACTAATAATTGGCCTGGGGAAGTCGCTTAGTGTGAAGGCCCCAGGTTCAATCCCCAGTAACACACAAAGAAAACAAACCAAAAAATACTGTAGTTCAGAAAGGACACACTTTCACCGTTCAGACAGATGAGAGAGGTGGCTGGGCCCTGATTATTCTGTTAAACCATTTAAAAACATTTGTGGTGACCGATTCGCTGTGAACAGCACAGCTTGCGGTGCAAACCTTTGGAGTATAATACATTAGTACTATGTGGGAAATCTCAACTACAATATATAAAATAAATCATCCTGAACTCCCACATTTCCCCAAACACCCTGCAAACTTACCCTGTTTGAAGCACAACACCACAGCAGTGAGTGATAAAGAAATGAACGCTTGTACTAGACCAGGTTGAGCTATCAACTTATCTACACGGCTGATCCTCTAAAAGTCATAAACTATCAAGCGACTTGGGCACTGCCACAATTCACATAACTCCTACAGTTTGCAGTTTTCCAAAGCCGAGCCAATAATCTCCTCAGCTGTTTTACAACTGGCATTCGGGCAACATGCCGGCGATTTTCAGGCCTCCGGTTTTCTAACTGATAACCTGGGAAGCACCAGAGCGCTTCCATAAAATCAAACCAACCCTGATGGAGCAGAGACCTTTCTGAGCCTCCAGAAACGTCGGCCTCGCGTTAGGGTGACAATGATGGTTCCTCTCCAGTTCCACAGAGTCCCAACAACCGCCAGCCGCAGCCACTGCCCGGCGACCCGGTTCCCGCCGGGTCTCCGCGTTCCCTCCCCACGTCCAACGGCCCCCGCGCCGGCCCCTACCCTCAGGTTAGCCCGGAGGCCCAGCCTCTTGGCCAAGTTCTGCAGGTCGCTGTATTTGAAGGAATCCAGTTCCTCCGCGGAGGGGACGGTCATCATGTTCTAGCACTCCAAACGACTCGCAGAGGACCAGGATGCCAACCCGGGAAACGCTATTCAAAACTCTGGCGCCACCGGCGGCGTTGATCCAGTGGAACTTTATAGTCAGTTTAAAAGAAGGACGCTGCAATTCCATTGGTTAAAAATGACTTGAAGGCGGGGGTTTCTGACGTTAGCCAATAGAAAGTCTGATCCAGGTCCCAAAGGACTGTGTTTTCCCTCACTCACCCACTCACGTCCAATCACTACGCAGGCGCAGAAAGGAGTGAGACTGGTCTAGGAAGTGACTGCGCGGGAACGCCTACGGTTTATATTGGCCAATGAGGACCAAGAGGACCGCCAGGGCGGGGCCTGGTGGTTTGAAACACTGGCGCCGACAACCGGGAAGATGGCGGCCCGGCCGCGGAGGCTTGGCCCTCTGTCTATGATGCTGACCCAGGGCAGCTTTTGCAAGGACGCTGAGACGATTGGCGAGCCATGCTTGACGACCTCCATGGAGTGGGATACGCAGGTGGTGGAGGGGTCCTCGCCGATCGGCCCCACAGGGCTGAGGGCGGACAAGCAGCCCACCGGCCCGAGGCTGCCGCCTTGGCTGCAGCCCGAGAGGTGCGCCGTGTTCCAGTGCGCGCAGTGCCGCGCCGTGCTCGGCGACTCAGTGCACCTCGCCTGGAACCTGTCGCGGACCCTTGGGGCCGTGGTCCTCTCCAGTGAGTGGGCCACGTTGGGGGATGGAAGTGGGCCACCTGCTGGCGGGGAACTGACTGGGCGAGGACACGGATGAGAGTTCGGAAGACCTGACTCTGCCCAGGGAAAGCGGGGAAGTGTTTTGTTTTGTTTTGTTTTGTTTTGTTTTGTTGCTTGTTTCCGGTATCGAGACTAGAACCTGGGGCCTCGCACACTCTGGGCTAGCGCACTAGCTGAGCTACGTCCCTTTTTCTTAATTTTTATTCCCCGGTGAGTCTGTTTCGGCCGGAGGTTTTCCTTTTCAGGAGCCTTCAAGTTAAATATTTGACCCTTGTTTGTCTTCCTAGAAGTCACAAAAAACGTCGTTTTGGAAGACCCTTTTCTGGTTGGCATCGAGGGTTTGCTCAAATGCAGGTACTGTACTTGTCAAGAACTTGGGTGGGGCTCTGGTCTCTGACTTTAATGAGACCTGACAGTGTAGGAAACGGCTTGTTAACGGTGTTGCAATAGAAGAAAGGTATAAAATATATTTGAATGATAGGGTGCGTCTTTAACCTATTTGACTACTGTAGTTGATGCATTAATGAAACCAGAAAGTTAAATTTGTATTTCCATGTTTCCTTGAAATTAAGACCTAAACGGAAAATAATCAGCCTTGAAAACTAGAGATCAAAAATCCCAGCCTTGCCGGGGATTTAGCTCAGTGGTTTCGCGTCTGGCTGCGCAAGCTCAAGGACCCGAGTTCGATCCCCGGTACCAAAAAAAAAAAAAAAAAAAAAATTCCCAGCTTCGTGCTCGCTTCAGCAGCACATATGCTAAAAAATGCCAGCCTTACCTGTCTTTCAGAGTAGCCACTGAGCAAAAGAATAGTGATAGCATTTGAAAATAACCTTGTTACCCTGAGCTTGGATTGTGTTCAACAGAATGTTTACTTAAATGGAATTTTCCTTGTATTGATTATAAGGAAAGTACATTCTTTTTTTAATTGTTATGGCAAATTCAAACAAGAGAAGAGTATCATGAAACTGTACACTATTGCTAAACTAGCATATTTATCAATTTATGGCCAATCTTGTTTCATCTATAATCATACTTCACCCCAGTGTTTGAAGCATATACCTTAAATTATATCATTCCAGGGCAACCCATTCAGGACCCCTCCTGTCTCTCAGGAGCCATTACTAGTCCCCAATAAATTTTCCTGCTTTTAACCTCAAAAAAATTGTATCATTCCATTCATAAATAATTTTTGTGAAAAAAAAATTTTTTGTGGGAATGTTTTATCAGAGAAACTTTTAAAAAAGGAATTGGACATGGTGGCACACACCTGAAATCCTAGCACTTTTGGCAGAGTCAGGGAGATTGCAAATTTGAGCCCACCCTGGGCAATTTAGTGACTTGCTTAGACCCTGTCTCAAATTAAAAACTAAAAAAAAGGGCTAGGGATATTGCTCAGTGTGAAGGCCCTAGGTTCAATCCCCAGTACCTCAAAGAAAAAACAAAAATAGCCTTATCTAGTTGCTCTTGTTCTACAGATGAGGAAGTGGAGACACTGGTGTATTGAAGTATGTTGCTCCCATTAAATCCTCCAGGGTCCTTGACCCAGTGCCCTAATGGAAGCACCAGTGAGCTGAAGATCTAACCTTTCAGGGTAGAGTGAGGCAACCAGAACACCTCAGCAAGGACTGTCAGGGACTAAATTTCCTAATAGAAAGAGGAAGCCCTGATCAGAGGCACCCAGGTGATCAGAGGCAAACTGTGGGAATTATTTTTTGTTATAAACTATAGTTCAATGGCTGCAGAAGTATTACTGTACTCTCAAAATTCATCATCATTATTCTTATTGTGTACTAATGGTCAATGAAATATTTATTTTATAGTGCTTATAAGCATGTTGCAATTTCTGAACATTTTTCTCTGTGCCTTACACTAGTTTCTATTAAGAAACTTGTCTATAGGTACTATGCTTTAAACTAATTAATGTACAAAAAAATACAGTACAACATATATGGTATGGGACATTTACCAATGTATTTAGTGTGTTTTTTTGTGTGTGGTTTGTTTGCTTGTTCTTTTTTAGTATCCAGGGACATTAATATGTTTAAGCATATAATTTTCATAGCACTTTTTTTAAAAAAACAGTACTAGGGATTGAACCCACCATGTCCAGGTCTTTTTTTGATTTATGAGTCAGGGTCTTGGTATGTATCCCAGGCTAACCTCGAACTCATGGCAATCACTTAGCTCTTTTTTTAAAGTTTTTATTTCAGACAGGGTGTCACTAAATCACTGAGTTGCCCAGGTGGGACTTGAACTTGTGATCCTTCTGCCTCAGTTTCCCAGAGTGCTTCCCATATTACAGGCATATCCCACCATGCAGGCCAGGTATTTTTATTACTAGAATTTTGCTGCATAGTATATGTTATGTAAATAAATTTTTCCCACACCAAACCACTTTAAAATTGCTTTCAGAGCCTGGAATAGTGCCAAATGCCTATAATTCAATCACTCTGAAGGCTAAGGCAAGAGAATCACCAAGTTTGGGTCCCATCTAGGCAATTCAGTGACTTAGTAAGACCCTGTGTCAAAATAAAATGATAAAAAAGTGGCTGGGGGCCCAGGGATTTAGCTCAGTGGTTCCGCCGCCTGCCTCGCAAGTGCAAGGACCCAAGTTCAATCCCAGTACCAAAAAATAAAAAGTAAAAAGTGGCTGGGGATGTAGCTCAGTATGAAGGCCTTGAATTCAGTCTCCCACCTCCCCAAACTGCTTTCAGTACATGCATGGTGAAAGTTTTTTGTTTTTTGAGGCAGGGTCTCACCATATAGTTCAGGCTGGCCTTGAACTCACTATTAGCCCAGGCTGGCCTCAAACAGTGATCCTCTTGCCTCTGCTTCCTGAGTGCTGGGATTACAGGTGTGTGCCATGAGGCCCAGCTTTGAAACAATTTTTCTTAAAATATTTCTTTGTAATATTTGGATGGAAATGTGATATGTCTTTCCTAAGTAGTACAAAAACTAAAATCAATATTTGACTGTCTCATTCAATTGATAAAAGAAAATAGATTGCTTGCTAGGCTAATGGGATTTCTTTTTCCCTTTATCATTTAGTCAGGGCATTTTTTTCAGTTAATTTTAAAAATATGCCAGGCATGGTAGCACATACCTGCAATCCTGGCACTCTGGAGGCTGAGGCAGGAAGATCACTGGGAGGTTGAGGTCACCCTGGGCTACACAGTGAATTTAAGACCTGCCTGGACATAGGGAGACCAGGTCTCAAAAAAAATTTTTCAAAAATATCTGCAAAAAAAAAATTCAGATTTCAGTTCTATTAATAAATTATTTTGTGGGCCAGGGATTTAGCTCAGTGGTTTCGCCACCTGCTGCGCAAGTGCAAGGACCTGAGTTTGATCCCCGGTACAAATAAATAAATAAATAAATAAATAATTTTGTAAGGCCCTCCAATCAACTTAATTATTTTGTATCTACTTTAAATTCATATGATAGTGATTTAAACATGGTGATTTGTTTAAACATTTTTGGTAGCAGGGATCGAACTCAGGACCTCACACTTGCCAGGCAGGTGCTGTACCCCTGAGCTACGTCCCCCAAAGTTTTTTTTTTTGGTACCAGTGATTGAACTCGGGACCTTGAGCTTGTGAGGCAGGAGGTGGAACCACTGAGCTAAATCCCCAGCTCCCCCCAAAGATTTTAATGTTAGTCTGATTAGTTAGCTGTTTTCTGCTTTTCAGAGATAAATTATTTTTCTCTACTTAAATGACATTTGTACATCCATGATTGCTTTTATGGCTACATTCCATGAGCCATGAGGGTTTCTATAATTTAAGGTGTAATAACATTAAAACCTAAGCTAACCTATTTAGCATTATTTCATTTTCATTCATGTTATAGTATAGTTTTTTTCTTGTATTTTAGGTGATAGGAATGCTTTCAGAGACTGGTTGCTTTTTACTTGTTCTCTGATTTTCTTTTTTATCCTTGTTCTGTTTTCCCCACCCCCAGCACTTATAACCGATTATTCTGCAGTTCCTGTGGGATTCCCATGGGTTTCCATCTGTACTCCACTCATGCTGCTCTGGCTGCCCTGAGAGGTCATTTCTGTCTTTACAGTGATAAGATGAGTTGGTGAGTAGACACATATTATCAAGTATGTTGTAGAAGATCTTCAGGAAAAGACAAAGTATTTGTACCAAAGCAAATGTTAATACCAGCCATTCTCTTTTATAAGAAACATAACACTAGAATCAGAATCTGATCTCATAATATTACAATCATTTTCAATGCCTTCAAATCATACCATGCTTTAATATCTATAACATGGAATACTTCAGAGGGTAGCTCATTACAGGAAATTCTGGAAGGTAAGCTTTTACAAAATAATGTTGCATCTGGGCCGGGGATTTAGCTCAGTGGTTTTGCCGCCTGCTGCGCAAGCGCAAGGACCCGAGTTTGATCCCCAGTACCAAAAAAAAAAAAAAAAACTTGCATTTTAAAATAATGTTGCATCAGACACCTTTTCTGTTTGTGCCCTGCTCTGTCTCCAACCTTGTGGCCATGGTGGTAGCGTGCATGGCACAATTCACACGTAACCCGAGCAAGGCCAAGCAGGTTTCCCAAGCTAGGGATTTGAAACAAGGACCCAGAGACACCAGTCATTTGTAGATGGTAGTAGTGGTAAAGTTGGCTAGAATTATGTCACATGGTCAATTTAAGCTGAGAGACAAGTATGTGGCCATAGGTTTATCACAGTTGGCTTTGAAGTTTGGAGGTTTTTTGATGTTTTTGGTTTTGGTTTTGGTGGGGGTTTTTTTGATACCAGGGATCAAACTCAGATCCTTGCGCTTGCGCAGCAGGCAGCAAAACTGCTGAGCTAAATCCCCTGCCCTGTTTTTATTTTTTTGGCTTTCAACCGTGATGATCCAGCAGTTAAGATTGGGCATAGGCCTACTATAGACAAAATTTGGACTGCATTAATAAGAAAGAAGTGAGGGAAACTGTTAGTGGCTGGGCAACCAACACTATTTGTCACATTACTTCAAACTTGCCACAGGATGGAGTGAAGCTTATACTCATCATGATTGAATAATCATTTAACTTTGTTTTGGTCTTCATTTTGTCTTGAGATAATTTTGTCTTTGGGAAGGGGTAGAGTCTCTCAGATGATTTATTATGAATTTGTTTTTCTAATAAAATACATCATGAATCTTAAAATGGAACTTGGTAAAAAGGCAAGATTTGCTTGACAGATATGTGTTTTAGAGGGTAAGCTGATTCATTGAATCTTAACTGTTGTATCAATATTTTTTCTGTCCAGCTATCTCTTAAAAACAAAAGCCATAGTAAATGCATCTGAGATGGATATTCATGGTGAACCTCTACTAGAAAAGATTACAGAGGTAAGATTCTTTTTTTTTTTTTGGTACTGGGGATTAAACTCAGGACCTTGCGCTTTCGAGGCAGGCGGCAGAACCACTGAGCTAAATTCCTGGCCCCAGAGGTAAAATTCTTGTTGGTTGTCTGGCTCCTTTGATAGAGATAATATCCAAGTTATATTGAGACCTTAGTTCAGGAGGAGGGAAAGCTGTTCAGTGTAACATTCTTGTGTTCTCTTTTATGCTGGGAATCAACATTATTATCCTGCATAGAGCTGGCATCTTTTTTTTTTTTCTGCAACCAGGGATCAAATTAAGGACCTTGCATTTTCGAGGCAGGTGCAGCCCCACTGAGCTAAATTCTGGGCCCCATCTTTTCTTATTTATTTTGTTTTGGTTTTTTGGCAGTACTGAGGAATAAACCCAGGACCTTCACACTTAGCTGCATTATTTATTTTGAGACAGGGTCTCTTTAAGACACTAAGTTGCCTGGACTGGGCTCAAATTTGCCCTCCTCCTGCTTTAGCCTCCCATAGTGCTGAGATTATAGGTATGTTCCACCACACTTGGCTCTGGGTACTCTTGCATCTTGAATTATAGAGGAGATTTAGTCAAACTATGCCAGAAATATATATCTAACAAGTATAAAAATAAGATTTTTAGTTTACCTTGATTCCAGTAGATTTATCCATAATTCTTTTTTTTTTCTTTTTGTTTGTTTGTTTTATTTTGGGTTTTGTTTTGTTTTTTTGAGACGGAGTCTCACTATAGTTCAGACTGGCTATGAACACACTGTGTAACCCAGGTTGGCCTCAAACTTGCAGCAATCCTCCCGTCTCAGCCTCTCAAGTGCTGGGATTATAGGCCCAGCATATCCATATTCTGTATTCCACAGTGTTTTAAATTACTTTTTTGCATTGCTAAGACAAAACACCTGACACTCAAAGTTAAAGGAGGAAAAGTTTATTTTACCTCATTTGTAGAGTTCAGTCCATGGTGGGCTGGCTTCAAGGCACGGTGGCATGGCAGAGGGATATTGCAGAGGAGAAACAGCTCATAGCATGCAGGGCAGGTAGAAGGCAGCAAGCACCAACAGCAAAGCCTCCCTTTATATACCCTCTAGGCTACATCACACCCAAGGTGGGCCTTCCCATTACCCACATCCCAGAACTATGCTAAATCAATTAGTAATCCACCACCACACACCATTAATCCACATTCACACACTAGATCCAGCCACCTCCACAAAGCCCACCTATGAGTGCATGAGGCTTTGGTGGGGGGACATCTAGATAGAAGCCTAGCACATGATAACTTTGAGTTGAAGTTCAAATGTAGCTGTTCTGCCTGACATGGTGGTGCACACCTGTAATCCCACCACTTGGGAGGCTAAGGCAGGAGGATCACCATGAGTTCAAGGCCACCTAAACTATAGTGAGATCCTGTCTCAAAAAATAAAACTAAATGAATGAATAAATGAAGCTGTTCTAAGGTAAAAGAAGTATTAAAAAGTAACTATATCAAACATCTGTTCTAAACCTGATAACCAGAACTACTTTTGAACACTGTTAAGGGAATATCAAAGTCAGAAAGGCATTTGTTACTTACAGTTAACACAGGAATGAAAAGCAAAGCTAGGATCTGTTTTCACATGACTTTGTATCTAAAGATCTTACTGTGAACTTGAAGTTCTCTCAGAAATAAATAAATGTATTCCTGATATGTTGACATTGCCAGCTCCCGATCGTGACATAACTAGCTTAAATTTGAAGTGGGATTACAACTAGCAAGTTCTGAGTTGAGCATAAGATGCCCTGACATCTCTGTATTTCTCTACCCAGCTGAAAGAGAAGATGATGCTGATGCACACTTGCTTAGACACAGTCATGAAGACTCTGAAGGAGGGGACCCCTGACCAGTCCAAGCCAGAAAACTGATCCAGAACCCAGGCTTGAGTATAGACTTCAGGCCTATACTTCAGGCCAGGTACCTTCAGCCACCGGGGCTGTTTGATTTTTTTCTTTTCTGAAAGGTCTTACTCTATCCCAGGCTGGCCTTGAACTCTCAGTCCTCCTGCCTCACCTCCCGTGTGCCACCATGCCTAGCTTGTTTGGTCATTTCTTGGAAAAAAGAAATAGGCTTCAAGAATGGGGGGAGGAAATTAAAAATAAAAACAAAGTAAAAAAAGAATGGTGGGAGGAAAGGTGGTTTATTATTGTTTTCTTCTAGTCTGATTTTCCAAAGACTTGGGAAGCTGTTCTTAGAAGCTAAGACATTAGGGCTGGGGATTTAGCTCAGTGGTTCCGTCGCCTACCCCATAAGCGCAAGGACCCGAGTTTGATCCCCGGTACCAAAAAAAAAAAAAATTTACTGTGAAAGATTACTAGTGTCTTACTTACCACTTCTTGACTGCATCAAGGGGTGTGTCAACTGACTGAGCTATCCTCTGTCCATGGAGACTGTTAAGATGTTCACTCAATGAGGTAATCACCTGTTGACAGATTTCTCAGACTGTTCCTTTAGTTATGTCATGCATTAAATATTTAAAAACTCCCGGGCCGGGGATTTAGCTCAGTGGTTCTGCCACCTGCCTCATAAGCACAAGGTCCTGAGTTTGATCCCCGGTTCCAAAAAACAAAAACAAACAATAAAAATTCCCTAGGAGAATAAACATATACTGAAGCTATATATTTTTTTTTCTAGTACCGGGGATTGAACCCAGGGCCATCACACTGAAGTACATTCCCAGTCCCTTCTTCCTTTATATTTTATTTTGAGATAAGGTCTTACAATTGTCCAGGCTGGGCCAGAAGTTGGTATCCTCCTACCACAATCTCCAGAGTGCTAGGAGCGTGCCACCATGCTTGGCTTCTTTTTGACTTTTTTTTGAGATAGGGTCTCACTATGTAGTTCAGACTAGCCTTGAACTATGTAGTCCAGGCTGGCATCCAACTCAGTGATCCTCCTGCCTCAGCCTCCCTAGTGCTGGGATTATAGGTGTGCAACACCATCCCTGGCCTTTTTGAGTTTCTTACTGCAGAAATCAACATCTAGCACAGTATGTGCTGCATGCGGGATATCAATATTTGTTAAATGATGAGTCTCATAAATCAGGAAGAATTACATTAGTTATAATAAAAACCAGTTTCTTGAGCCAGGGATTTAACTCAGTGGTTCCACCCCCTGCCTTGCAAGTGCAAGGACCAGAGTTTGATCCTCTGTACCAAAAAACCCCTTAAAAAACCAGTTTCTTAGTTCTTCGCCATTTGACAATAGCCAGTCTTAAAGTTTATAAAATCTTCTTCCTGAAAAAAAACGCTTTCTCCTAAAACAAAAATCTCTTTATTATACTTTAGTGTTAAAACCTCATCATACAACTAAACCAATGTTTACATATTAAATATACAGTGGTGCATCAGTTTATGAACTCAGTTCTCAGGTTAACACTGAACCTAACCATTGAATGTGATTCAATTTCTTGTCCAACTTCGTTTGCGACCAGAATTGTGGAAAGAATCAAGTTCATGAGCCGGGGATTTAGCTCAGTGGTGCCACCGCCTGCCTTGAAAGCACAAGGTCCCAAGTTCAATCCCCAGTACAAAAAAAAAAAATCAAGTTCATGAACCAAGGTACCACTGCAAAAGTATCTTAAATGCTACATATATTTCAAATGAGAATGATTTCCAGGAAGTTTTATCATTATATTATCTTCTTACCAAAAACAATATTTGTTTATAGATGGAGCATAAGGTTGACCTAAAGGTGAAAGGCAGTGCTTTCCGTTCAGATGCCCATCTGTTGTTCCACTGGACAACATACATCATAAACCGGCACAACTAGCTATCAAGAAACCCAGGTCTTTTGTTCCTGGGCATCTAAAGCCTTCTCAGCACAGGCCTATGAACATTTCCTTCTTTCGTCATCACCATTTATAGCATTCTTCGAAGTTAGCCAGTTCAAGTAACAACACAAGAAATTACAATGCATTTGCCCATGCTGCTTTATTGCTCAAAATATGTCTATATACAACAGGTGCAGAGTTTCCAACTCTTACAATAGCTCCTTTTTACATCAAAGAATAATATTTCTTCAAAACTTCCAAAGATGCATAGATTAAACAGCAAGCTGCCTTTTGTAATACTTCAAACATACCCACTTTTAAAATGTTATATCCTAATTATGTAATGCAGGATATGTAGAACAGCAAGTAAACACAATAAGCAACTCCTGTACTTAACAGTAAATAAACTATTATGAAAGGTACTCTAACATTCTTAAATCTTTTCAATTATAGGAGATGAGTGGTTTTCCTTTTTTTTTTTTTAAGACAGGGTCTTGCTGTGTAGTTCAGGCTGGTCTTCAACTATGTAGCCCAGGCTGGCCTTGAACTCAGCAATCTTCCTGCCTAAGCCTCTTGAATGTTGGGGTTACAGGCATGCACTACCACACCCAGTGAGATGAGTGGTTTTAAACTTAGTGCCAACACTAGTATAGCTGTTTAAAGATTTATGAAGACATATTGCTAGAATACATTTTTTTACCCCCTGGATGGGAAAAATATATATATTTTTTTGCTAGGCTATGGATCGGACCTGGGCCCTCAAGTATGCCACACTCCCAAATCAAAAAATATTTTGATGATATGGCATATTGTCATAACCAAGGGACATAAAACATTTTAAAAATAGTCACCATAACTATTCTCACTTTAAAGGAGTTTAAAAGCCTGAACTCCGAGAGAAATTTCCCAAGTTTGGTTTTCCAGTACTATCTATTTTAATATGCCTTAGAGTAATAGGAACAAAGTTTAAAGAAATTCTTTTTTGTTTTTTTTTTGGAACCTGGGATTGAACTCGGGTCCTTGGCGCTTGCACAGCAGGCGGCGAAAGCACTAAGCTAAATCCCCAGCCCAGTTTAGAGAAATTCTGACCTTATATATTTGGTAGGCCTGGTAGCAGTAAGTGGCAAGGGACAATTATATATGAGATATATCTCTTGGGCCGGGGATTTAGCTCAGTGGTTCTGGCGCCTGCCTCGCAAGCGCAAGGTCCCGAGTTTGATCCCTGGTACCAAAAAAAAAAAAAAAAATTAGATATATCTCACTTCTTGCATCTGAGTGAAAACCAAATATCAAAAGGACAAATCTTACTCAACACTGAAGCACTGAAGTAACAATTCATTCTGTATGGTATGTGTAGTGAAGTCCCACAAAGTATATAAAGTTAAAATAATTTTGAAAAAATAATTTTCAATTATAGAACATGAAAACTGGAAGGAGCCTAATGAAAATCATGTAGTCTTACCCTGAATTTTCTTCTATTCAGGCTTCTTTCAGAAATCATGAATTCAATTCATACATTACTGTCATAATTACTCGTTTTACCTGGTTTTTTGCTTTTTGCAGTACTAAGTATTGAACCCAGGTGTTGTGTGTGCTTGGCAAGTGCTCTAAAAAAGCTACATGTCCAGGCCTTTGAAAAATTTGTTTTTGGGTACTGGGGATCAAACTCGGGACCTTGCACTTTCGAGGCAGGCAGCAGAACCACTGAGCTAAATCCCTGGCCCTGAAAAATTTGTTTTTGAGAGTGTCTTGCTAAATTGCCCAGACTGGCCTGGAGCCTGGAACCTGCCTGCCTCACGCTGGGATGATAGGTGTGTGCCACCACACCCTGCTCTTATCTTTTAAAATGGGAAAAACTTTTTGTTCACCTGGGATCAAAACCTTTAGGAAAGAAATTGTACAGTCTGACCAAACCATCAAGAATAAAACTGGCTATTAAAAATGAAGCTTAACATAACAGAATAGAGAAACAATACATATATATTAGTACTCTCAACTCTTCCTATAAAATGGAGTCTCTCTTGCTGCTACGGTCCTTTCTGGTTGATCAATACTAGTACCATCAGAACAGTTAGTTACCTAGTAACTTAAAATCCTAAAACATCTGAAATATGTGCACATTAACCCTATCCACTTCCAAGACACTGGCTTGTTTTTTTCTGACAGGGTCTTGCTATGTTGCCCAGGCTTGGCCTCTATATCAGAGGCTCAAGCACTCCTCTTGCCCCAGCCTCTGTGGGAGTAGCTGCAGCTATAGGTGTGTGCCATCATACTGGGCTCAAAATACTAGTTTTAAGACTTCAAACTTAATCCACATAAACCTTATCAGACAAACCCTATATCTAGGTATTTTACATACTGTACACTGGTATTTCATTCTTTCCCACTCTTTCTGAAACTCTGCACCTTTTTGATTATTGTAGCCATAGCAGCTTATTTATTTATTCAACATGCATACTGTCTTTTGTTTTCAAACATGCTTGGGGACTAAAGCAACTAAGAAAGAGATTAAAGGGTGAGCACTCTTATGCCCATTTATTCCTTAGTTTGAATGTCTTGTGATTGCCCGTTTATTTACTTCCCATTTGCAAAGGAAGATAATCTTTAATTAGAAAATGAAAAATAATAAATTCAAGCTATTAGTTTATATTGCTTCATTAATAAATGCATATATAAAATTACTAGTAACTAACACTAGAAATTTGCAATCATGCAATAGAATATTAGTATACTATCATCAAATTTATGTGACCCGCCACTATTGCTTGAACTTTCAACTGGACCCAGTCTTAATAAACATGCAGAGTAAATCCCGTGATTCAGAGGAATTATGGAAAATAGTAACACATGCAAACTTTCAACTGGAAGTTTGAGTTAATAACTGCTTAGAAATGCAGGCAGGTAGGGGCCGGGGATTTAGCTCAGTGGTTTCGCCACCTGCTGTGCAAGTGCAAGGACCTGAGTTCGATCCCCGGTACCAGAAAAAAAAAAAAGAAATGCAGGCAGGTGCTTTACATCTATCACAATGCTGTTTAAGAACAGAGGCACAAGTCACACAAAAAGGTTAAAAGTAGGACCACTGTTCAATAATAAAAGGGTCATATTCAAATCCTGGCCCTTTTAGGTAAATAATGATGTAAAAAACTTGGGTAAAGAAAGAATTGAAAGAGGCAAAGGAACAATTGTGGAATAGTAAGTTTTCTGGGCCATTTATTGACAGCTATCTAAGAGCATGGGTGGCAGGGGGATGGTGAAGACGTTCTTAGGCAGAATGGTTGCTTCTCTAACTCACACTAATAAGCAGCCCCTGCACAGCTCCCTGGGGAAAGGAGTTGATGGGCAGAGCTAGTACAATGTAAACTCAAGCATCCATGCCCTGAAGTTTAGCATAACCTTCTGCTTTAAAACCATTGGCTGGGGCCGTGGATTTAGCTCAGTGGTTCCAGCGCCTGCCTTGCAAGCACAAGGTCCTGAGTTCGATCCCCAGTACCAAAAAATAAATAAATAAAAATAAAACCATTGGCTAAGGGATCCTTCCAAAATGATATAATTAACAGCCAGGCAATGTTATGAATAAACTAGAAGCAACTTGCTGGCACCAACAGCACCATGAGAATGTAAACTTGAGGCCAAGGGTCTCTTCATAGTTTGCATATCACAAGTACATAAACAAGAGACCACAAGAACTTTGAAAAGTAACCACGTATGTTCACACTACAGACCCTTGTAGCATAGTTTAGTATTTTAGAACTATTAATATGCTTTTTAAGAGTAATCTTTAATTGTCTGAAGTAACTGAACATCACTGTAATAAGTAGCCATGTCTTCGTGATCATGCAAATGTCTGAATATTGCTTGGTTGTTCTGTGTCTAACACTAACACAAAAGGACATTAAAGAGCCATAATCAACTTAATGTAGCCTTTTCCTTGTCCATTGAAGCTGCCATATATAATAATAACTAAATATTCAAGAGATTCATAGATCTGTAGCACTTTAGTTTCTTTTCCTCCCTGGAAAAACAAAGGAACAAATGCAATCTTTTCAAGGGATCTTCAAAGTGCTAAATGGCCAAGATGGACATGAGGTGAAAAGGAATAAATTGGCCAGTTCCACTATTATATTCTCAGGCTGTGTGATTCCTCAGGTCAAGTAAAAAGTCTGCCAAGTTCTTATCAAAAGAAGCAGTCACAGGCCATAGGCTTCATTGTATCTATATTAGACAAGGTTTTTAAGGTTTTTTTAAAAAAACTAAACAGTATAGTCTGGCTGTTTCCCTCAATCCTTTAGCTTCTTATCCTTCCTTATTTCTTTTGAGACAGTGTCTTACTTTGTAGCCCAGACTGCCCTAGAACTTGTGGCAGTCCTCTTGCCTCAACCTCCCAAGTGCTAGGACTATAGGCATGCACCACCATGCCCAGCAACAGTTTCTTACCTTTAAAACCTAACTTCTTTCATCATAACCAGGAGGAAAAGCCAGCTATCCAAATTCTTGGGATTTTTTAAAATCCTAATTAAAACAACATTCTTGGGGCCAGGGATTTATTTAGCTCAGTGGTTCCAGCGCCTGCCGAGCAAGCACAAGGTCCCAAATTTGATCCCCGGTACCAAAAAAAAAAAAAAATTCTTCCTTTTTAAAAATGTATCCAGCAAGCCAAAAGAGATAGGTAACAAAGCAGAAAAGATCCCATTCTATACAGTAAAAGCCTGCTGCCAACCAGAACAACTTAAGCAAAACCTCCACGTGTTGGCTTCTGAGGCTGTAGGAGTACATTTGTTTCTAGACTAAGCACTAGAAAGACTTCAACAGCTCTCAACCTTTGCTTTGGAAAATAAATAGTTTTTAAACTTTAAAATATACAAAAGTTGGTATTTCTTACACAGGTATATTCATATACATTTGTACTGTTTTAAAAGAATGTACCTTTTATATGCTCTTTACCTACATTTTTTTCCTTCCCCACCAACTCAAGTAGTAATCACTTATCCTACTGTACAAGTTTGCAAATACAATTCACTATACATGCAAAATTGTTATTGCTACTAAAATTCTATCTCTTTAAATTATTAGTTCATTTTATGGCTTTTTTTTTTTGCAACAGGAAATATCCTTTCCTATATACTTTGCATTCATTACTTTCAGAGTTTTTAAAAATGCTTTTCAGAAATGGATTCTCCCAGGCACTAGCTACTTGAGGCAAGAATAAAACTATTGTAAGCATACTATGAGAACCTAAACCTGGGTCCCTAGAGATCTGCTACCAGAATCTACTTGTTTGCTTGTCCATGACACACCACATGAAAATAGTTTACATTTTCTATCATATTGATGTAGAATGTGTCAATTTTGGGCTCTCAATACTGAGATCTAAGAAGCAACTGCCACTTCCAAGTTCTCAAGGCAGCTTTTAGAGGTAGAATTCCTTTTTACAGAAAAACATCTTTTGTTTCAGAACAAAACAACTGTTTTACTTCTGTAAAGTAGAAAAAAGTGAAAACTGTGAGAAACTTACTATAACCAAGGCAAAGAAGCAACTTATAACATGGCAACTGAGGAAGGCTTCATTTAGCTACATTTCCAATTCTCATAAAAGGTCTGGAATCCCATCAATACACAACTGAGCAGATTTGGAAATATCTAGGATTCTTCAAACTACTGACAATGTTGTTCCATTAAACCATGTACTGTAGACAGGAAATGTCAATGGCCTAGAGATTAGATAAGCACTTACCGAAGTAATTAACAACAGCATCTCAGTAAGACATGCAAAATGTAAAGTAATTTCTGGATGCAAAAGGAGCAGGAAAAATGAACCCAAGTAATACAAGGTAAAGATTTATAAGAACAACGTCACCTCAAACCAAGACAGCAATGTAGAATTATGAAATAACTCATTTTAATGTGAGGCTTCATAAGACACAAAAGCAGCTATCTAGCTTATATATCCTCAAAGTTGTAGATTGTGAACTAAACTTTCTGGGTTTTTTGGCCTTAATGTCCTTTCCCTAGGAAGAATATCAGATTCAAATATTTATGAAAAAAGGAAATCTAGATTTTCCACTCATTTTACACTATTGGTTATTATCAATAATTCATCCTGAATATTGAAATTATTTCTAGGCTCATGCACTAACCCCTAACATGGCACTACAATATGCTACCAAGCACTAATGCTTACAAAACTATACACATCTCAAAATGGAAGACATTGGTGATTTTGTTGTTCTTAAACAACTTGTAACAATTGTCCACAAGTATTAAAATATACATATATATATATATTTCTATTGCACATATCCCATTTTTGTTTAAAATTTCCAAAGGAAAAACTCCCAGATAACATAAATGAGCAAATAAAGGAGGCACAGTTACAGATTGAGGCATAGTTCTAAAATTATAGTTTTTGTTATTAATATGGTGACCAAAATAGACCAGAAAAAAATGCAAAATAAGTAAATACAGGGCAACTACAACTGGAATGTACCCATATGGTCAAATGCCACCTGGTGTCCACCCTGGAAGATGTGGGAACAATGTCACTGAAAGACAGCACTGCACACTGGTTCCCTGAACTGTAGGCTGAAAAATATAAAGCATTTGCAGGTGGATCTGATAGCTGTTCAAATGAGGTCAAATCTGGTTTCCGTAGCATTTATATTCCCTGCCCAGTGACACTGACTCAAAGTTACCAAAAGGTCACAGAGATGATAAATAACAGAAAATTGGAAGGTCCAACCTCTCCATGATACATTCTCAACATATCAGTGGGACCCATGTATGGAGTTCCCTTTTTTGATCTCCCAGTAGCGGGGATCAAACCCAGGCCCTGCACATGCTAGGCACATCCTCTTATCACTGAGCTATATACCTGATCCCCAGTCCCCCCTCACCTTTTTTTCGGTACCAGGGATCAAACTCAGGACCTTGTGCTTGCAAGGAAGGCGTGGTGCCACTGAGGTAAATCCCCAGCCCTCTAGTCCCCTTTTCTAAATTTTATTTTGAGACACAGTTTAAGCGGCCCAAGCTGGCCTGGAACTTGTGATCCTCCTGCCTCAGCCTCCTAAAGAGCTGGGATTACTGGCATGTGCCACCACCCATAGCTCCATTCTGTCTCTTAACAGTTTTTAAATACTAATGGAAAATATCAGGAAGTAGCTAGGGGGTTACTTAAGAGAAAAATTTAAGTTACCTTTAGTCAGTATTATTATGCTTTACCACTAAATGCCCTCAATTAAAAGAAGTTATATGTTAACTGTACTATGTTTTATGAAAAAAGTTTTTTCCCCCATTCATACGGGTTGACTAATCTGGCTAAAATTCTGGTAAATCTACCTAAAATTCCCTGCATCACAGCACCTACAGCCCTGGGCAACCATTCCAGAAAAGAGAAATGATCTAGTAAGTTTAAAATTCTTTCTCTAGTCACAAGGAATCAAAAATAAACATTTTACTCTTCTTATGTAAAGACCTGACATCTTACACAATAGTCCTCTGTTGATCTGGAGGGACAGGGTTCTATGATAGTGTGTTCATCATAGTTAATTGAGAAGGGAAAATAAAGTAGACCAGTATTTCTTATTGGAACTATTTTTTCTGTTTGTTCTGGGGGGGTTTTTTTGGTACCAGAGATCAAACTCAGGACCTCGTGCTTGCCAGGCAGGCGCTGTGCCACTGAGCTAAATCCCTGGCCCTGGAACTATTTTTCTTGAAGTTCTTTTCAGATCCTAAATTTCTTCTAAATCTATAATGACTAACCACAGAATTGGGAACATTACTTCAGAGGCTCACTCTCTGATGAGAAAGATCAGTTGTGAGTAGGGATGTTTACCTGAGTCCTAGCCTTTTCAGCCTAACATTATTCCTACTGGCTAGAAAAACAGATCAAACGTTAAGTGCCCATCCTGGGTCAAAGGAAAAGTTAGTTCACAAAAAAATGGAACTATATAATGTAAAATGTCAAAACACAGATGATGCTACATAAGACATTTGCTTCTTTTTCTTAGGAAGGTATACAGAAACTTTTCTCATTTTATCCACAGCTCCATGTCCAGAGTTGACGGCAGTTGTACAAAAGGGCCCATCACATCTTTTGAAGTGAACTACTTACAGCTCTTTTCTTCTGGCCTTCACCATAAGGAAAACAAAGTCTCATGTGCTATATATGACTTCACAGAGGGATGAAGAAATTTGTAATACAGTAGCTACTCATCTTAGGGAAGTGAGTAGGGTTCCATCACTGGACTCAAGATGTGTTGTTTTATCATTCTTTCAACTAAGTGAAAATATACATTCACAGGATTAGCTGCTGTGCAAGCTGGTCCTTCCTTAGAAGAATGAAAAGAAAAATTTTTAAATTAAAGTTCCAGGGCTGGGGATTTAGCTCAGTGGTTCTGCCCCCTGCCTCACAAGCACAAGGTCGAGTTCAATCCCTGGTACCAAAAAGAAAAAAAAAAATTAAAGTTCCAAAACTTCTAAAAAAGAAGTCAACATCTTCCTTCTCTAGGAGAAAAAAAAATTCTATTGTCCAAAAATGTGGGTTTACATGTGTAAAAATGTGTATCTACAGAAACTGATGGTTTATTCACATATGAAATAAACTTTAATATCATTATGCTTCTTTATAATACCAAAGTTTAACTGCAAAAGTGGACTTTTTTCTCCTCCTATAAACCTATGTCAGGATGAGCCAAGATTTCCAGATATATGTAACATTTTAACATCGCTTTCATTTCAAATCAGAACAAATATTTAGAAGTTACTTCTGTGGTCTTAATGTGCTTCTCATATAGTGGACTGAAACTGGAAGACATTTTTAAGAACCCCTGAAGTCATCCATACTTGCTGCTTATGCATTCTTCTTATTTGGAACAAAAGTAAAAGAATTCACAAATATAATGACCTAAGCACCTGTTTAAAACTAAACATATATGCCTTCAGCTTGCACAATAATTTCTTTATAATTAAGCAAACCACAGCAGAAGGCCCACATCAGTTGGTTTTTTTTTTTCCTGGAGAAGTCACAGGATAACTGCATCCGAAGGACATCTCTATGTTGAAGCTGAGAGGTGGAACAGAAGAATGTCATCATTTTCATTCCAAATCATGGAGGTGATGTGTAGAAAGATATCTATATTTCAAGACAGGGAAACAGGGATAATTATAAGAACTACAGCTCTAGAAGACAACACAAAAATACCTGGAAATAAAAATAAAAACAGGAAGATTAGACCAGGTATTTCTGCATGAGCTTACTTTAACAAATATTTAAAACACATAAAACAGTATTTTGGATTATACACTGTCTAAAAGAAACTGTCTAACCATAATAACAAATTCGCTATTGTTTTAAGGAAAGCAGTAGTACACCTAGGCATGGTGGCACATGCCTGTAATCCCAGCACTCTGGGAGACTGAGGCAAGAGGATCACAACTTTGAGCCCAGCCTGGGCAACTTAGCAAGATGCTTTAAAAAAAAAAAAGAGGGCCAGGGATTTAGCTCAGTGGTTTTGCCACCTGCTCTGCAAGCACAAGGACCTGAGTTCCATCCCCGGTACCAAAAAAAAAAAAGGTCAGAGTTGTAGCTCAAGGCCCTGGGTTTAATCCCCAGTACTCAAAAATAACCAGAACAACAGAAAGAGAAAGAAATAGCCTGAAAAGAATATATACCACTGATAAAAAAAAAAAGCTGTGCACATAAAAACTTCAATTATACAAAAGATATATTGCTGGGTGTGGTGGTACAAGCCTGTAATCCCAGCACTGGGGATGCTGAGGTAGGTGGATTGGGAAGCTGAAGTAAACAGACAGCAAGTCCAAGGCCAGCATGGGTTACACAGAGTTCAAGGCCAGCCTGAACTGTTAACATGACCCTGTCTCAAAAAAAAAAGCATCAAAAAATGTATCAATATGGGCCGGGGATTTAGCTCAGTGGTTCTGGTGCCTGCCTTGAAAGCACAAGGTCCCGAGTTCAATCCCCAGTAAAAAAAAAAAAAAAAAAAAAAGATATATCAATTGCCTCTTATGCAAATGCAATACCAAGGTTTTTATAGCCATAAAAATATTAGCTGGGCGTGGTGGCACACACCTGTAGTCCCAGAACTTGGGAGGCTGAGGCAGGAGGACTGACAGGAATCTGAGGCCAGCCTGGGCTACATAGTGAGTTCAAGGCCAGCCTGAGCTACATAGGGAGACCCTACCTCAAAAGAAGAAAGCAAACAAAAAAATGTAAACATTATATGATTCCACTTACATGAAATAATGTTGAATAAGCAAATTCAGAGACAAAAAGTAGAATAGAGGTCAGCTGGGGCTGAGGGAAAAGGAGATTGAAAACTATGAGTAATGAGTTGGAGATGATGGAAAAACCACAGAAATACATAGTGGTGATGGCTGCACAACAATGTATGATATACTTAACACCAATAAATTACACACTTAAAAACAAAATAAGTGAATCAGAATTGTGTATCAAACATTTAAATGATTTTATGATAATGGCCAAAGGAATTGGCTAACTAGTCTTCTACTGTTTTTAAGTCTGTTCCACATACTAAAAAAATACCTTAGGCCAGGGATTTAGCTCAGTGGCACCATGCCTGCCTCGGAAGCACAAGATCCTAAGTTCCATTCTCCATACAAAAAAACCCAAAAACCAAAAGACCTTAGTTAGGCCAGGCATGGTGGTACACTTCTGTAATCCAACCACTCTTGGAGGCTAAGGCAGGAAGATCACAAGTTCCAACCCAGCCTGGGCAAATTAGCAATACCTTGTCTCAAAAATGCTGTTGGTGGGTGGGTAGTTTGGGGATATAGCCAAGTGCAAAGGTCCTAGGTTCAATCCTAGCACCACAGTTAATCCATCCATCAATTAATTCATTTATCTGGCACACTGCCCTTTGCCCAGCTATTCTGGAGGATGAGACAGAAAGAACACAAATTAGAGGCCAACTTGGGCATGATGATGCACGCTAGTAAACCTAGCACTCAGGAAGTTCAGATCCAGCCGGGGCTACATAGTGAGTTCAAGGCCAGCTTGAACTGCATAGTGAGACTCTGTTTTAAAAAAAACCAAAACCAGGGCGGGGATTTAGCTCAGTGGTTCTACCACCTGCCTCACAAGCTCAAGGTCCCGAGTTCAATCCCCAGTACCAAAAAAACCCCCCAAAAAACCCAAAAACCAGACAGACAAAAATATAGGCCAGCATGGGCAACTTTGCAAAAGCTGGTCTTAAAAAAGGGCTGGGTATAGCTCAGTGGCTAAGCACTTGCCCAGCATGCAAGACACCCTTGCTTCAATCTCTTGTACAAGAAAAAGGAAAAGGGCTGGGGATTTAGTTCAGTGGTTTCGCAGCCTGCTGCGCAAGCGCAAGGACCTGAGTTCAATCGCGGTACCGGAAAAAAAAAAAAAAAGAAAAAGAAAAAGGAAAAAAAAGAAGAATCTATGGGTATCTGGCTGTTTAACTGCAGAGGCTTCCTCAGGCTAATTCAAAACTTGCACCAGCCATTAGACTATTCTGCAATTCAATTCCAAATACATTTAGCTGCCAGGCATTATATCTCACAATTGCAGTCCCAGCTACGGAGGTGAGACTGAGCTGAAAGATAACTTTTGCCAGGAGCTTGAGACCAGCCTGGCCAACACAGTGATACATTGTTTATAAATAAATATGCAAATAAACAAACAGCCACACCTGTAATCCCAGCACTCAGGAACCTGAGGCAGGACTTCAGAGAGTTCAAGGCCAGCCTGGGCTACACAGTAAATTCAAAGCCAGCCTGGGGCTGGGGATTTAGTTCAGTGGTTCCACTGCCTGCCTGCAAGCACAAGTCCCAAGAGTTGATCCCAGTACCAAAAAACATAAACAAAAACAAAAGCCAGCCTGTATTAAATCTAAAAAAAACAACAACCCAAAACGAAACAAAAAAACCTGCCATCTAGGTCTCATGGCACAGGACTGTGAATCCTAGATACTAGGGATGTTAAGGCAGAAAGACTGAAAGTTTGAGGCTAGCCTCAACAATTAAGAGAAAATTGAAAACTTTGTGAAAATCTATCATAAAAGAAAACTGAAAAACAGAAGCTGGGGACATAGCTCAGTAGTAGAGTGTTCATCTAGCATATGCCAGGTCATGGGTTCAGTCTCCAGTATGAGATTGGGCACATTCAGGATGGTATGGCCATAGACTCAATCCCCAGTATCAGAAATAAATTAGTAAGTGAATACACTTAGCTAACATGAGTAAAAAGAATTTGAAACAGACACAAGTTCTAGATATAGGTGAGTAAACTAGAACTACAGATTCTGTTGCACAAAACCTACAAATACATTCCCTATACAGTTGGTGCCTCAGTATTGTATAGACTTTTTTTTTCCAGTGCGGGGGGTGGGGGGGGGGGGGTGGGGGGGTGTTGAACTCAGGACCTTATGCTTGCCAGGTGAGGCGCCACTGAGCTGCATCCCCTTCCCTTTCAGTAGGGACTTTTTAGTCTCTTAAGTCACCAACTTGGTGCTACTAATTACACAAAGCAACCCTGTACTAGAAAATCTGATTTATTAAGAGGCTAGAAAGGGAGAGAAGAAATTTCCAATGTAATGTAGCATTTAGGCTACTCACCCTGTGAGACAAGGAGTTCAAGTGTTAGCCTTCAAGACAGTTCCCCGAGAAGTGCTCCCTCTGGTTTTCCTGACCTTTTATAGCCCTCTCCAAGAATGAATCAGGGTTACTCTATGTTGTGCCATGAAGAATTTCACTGACCTTTGTCTCTGGGAGGGAGAACTTAAATCCTTGAAATTCAGAGTAAATGAACCAGTGCAAATTAAACAACACACCTCTAAAGAACCAATGGGACTCTTAAAAGGCTGGATGATCACAAGTTCTAGCCTGGTTTGGGCAATGTAGCAACTCAGTGGAATCTTATCTCAAAATAAACGATAAAAAAGGATGGAGATATAACTCAATGAGAAGACCCTAGAATCAATCCCTGGTACTACCACCAAAAAAAAAAAAAAACACCCTGCTGGGACAGTTGGACAGTTTCTACCCCAGAAATGGCTAGACTGTACTAATGCAAAGTCACTGCCTGAGCAAAAACTTGTTTATCAATTATTTATTGAAAATTTTTATTCAAAAAATTTTATTTGGATAATACCTACACATGAAACTGGGCATGGTAACACATGCCTATAATCCCAGCTACTCAGGAGGCTGAGGCAGGAGGATTGAAAGTTCAAGGACAGCCCAGGCAACTCTGTAGGACACTGTCTCAAAATAAAAAGGTGCTTGGTACATGATAGAGCACCACTTACCTAGCATGCATGAGGCCTGGGGTCAATCTCCAGTATTACCAAGAAAAAAAAAAGTTAAAATAGGTACAGAGTTTCTTGTATATCCTTTTAGATATATTCTCCTATATAAATATTTTCCTCTACAAATGTAAGGCCCTTATATAGTGTTCTGCAATTTGCTTTTCCCTAATGTGTTTTGGAGATCATTCCATATCACAATTAAAGCTATCTTATAAATGCAGAAGTACCACAATTTACTGAGACCTGTTCTCTATCAATGAACACTTAGATTGCTAACAATACTGTGCTATACTTTCAAGTGATAAAGCCTCTCCTCCAAAGGCATAAGATAAACACTATCACCAAAAGGACATTTTGCCCTATCAGGTTTTTAAAATTTATTTGTGTTTGTTTTGACACAGGCTCTCACTATGTAGTTCAAGCTGGCCTTGAACTTGCTATGTTCCCTAGGCTGGCCTTGAACTCGTGGCAATTTTGCAAGTGCTGAGACTACAGGCTTGTGCCACCATGCCCAGCCTGCCCTATCAGTTTTTATTCCTTTTACACTATTAAAATACATTCTCTTAAAACCAGGCATGGTGTGGGCTGGGGATTTAGCTCAGTGGTTCCGCTGCCTGCCTTGAAAGCGTACGGTCCTGAGTTCAATCCCCGGTAACGCCCCCCCCCAAAAAACCAGGCACCATGGTTATCCCAGCACTTGGGAGACTGAGGAAGGAGGATCTCTCCAAGTTCAAGGCCAGCCTGGGCTACAGAGCAAGATCCTATCTCAACTCCCAGTTCCCAAATACACTCTTCTCTCCTATACATGTTTGTTTTTTTTTTAACTGCAGTAAAATGAACATAAAACTTACAATTTTAAACCCTTTTTACACATACAGTTTAATAGTACTGAGTACATTAATACTGTTGTGCCACCACTACAGCCACCCGTCTCCAGAACTCATTCTGCTTCTCAAAGTGAAACCCTGTATCTACTAAACAATAACTTCCCATCCCCTCCTCCATAGGCCTTGGCAACCACCATTCTAATTTGTCTCTATGATTCTTGCTACTCTATATACCTCACATAAGGGGTGTACAAGATTTTAATCCTTACATTAGTTGCACATTGAATGGTTTTCACATAATTTTCAATGTTTGTACCCAAACAGATGTTATGGGTTGAAGCAAAATTTGTGTGTTTAAATCCTAACATCTAGTACCTCAGAAAGTGACCTTATTTGGAAATAGGGTCATTAAGATGTGAAAATTAAATCTAAATTAAAATGAGGTCATACTGGAGCAGGGTGGGCTCCTGATCCAATATGACTGGTGTCCTCAGAAATAGAGGTAGTGGGGGCCCGGGGATTTAGCTCAGTGGTTTCACTGCCTGCTGCGGAAGCCAAAGGACCTGAGTTTGATCCCGGTACCAAGAAAAAAAATAGGGGTAGTGGGAAGCTCACACCTATAATCTCAGCTACTCAGGAATCCTGGGGCAGGAGGGTCAAAAGTTCAAATCCAGCTGGGCATGGTGGCACATGCCTGTAATCCCAGTACTCAGGAGGCTGAGGCATGAGACTACTGGAAGCTCAAAGCCAACCTATACTACATAGTGAGTTCAAAGGCAGCCAGAACTATATAGCAAGACCCTGTCTCAAACAAAAAGTTCAAGTCCACCCTGGGAAATTTGGTGAGACCTTGTCTTAAATAAAAATTTATAAAAGGGCTGTTTGGGATGTAAGTGCTAGACTGCCCCTGGATTTGATCTTCAGTACCTGAGGGGGGTAGATTAGGATACATACACGTGTGTGCACACACACGCACACACACACAAATACACGCAGAGGAAGAAATTGGTATGAAGAATGAAGTTATGCTGCCACAGGCTAAGGAACTTTCAGAAGCTAGAAAAGCCTGGAGCTGGACACACACCTGTAATCCCAGCACTGGGGAGGCTGAGGCAGGAGGATCACTGTGAGTTTGAGGCCAGTCTAGGCTAGTGAGTTCAAGGCCAGTCTGAATTACATAGCTAGACCTTATCTCAAAAAACCAAAATAATTAATTTTTAAAAAACAGAAAGGCCTTCCAGAGGATGCCCCTGCTATTGATTTTAGATGTCTGACCTCTAGCACCATGAGAATTATTGTTTCAAACTACCCTGTGTGTGATGCTTTGCCACAGCAGGCCTAATAATACAGGAAATATGAAGCCTCACAAGGGTCTTCATTTTTTTCCCCTCGAAGTGCTGAGTAGCTAAACCAGAGCTTCAAACATGCCCAGTCCCAGATAAGTTTTTTTTTTTGGTACCGGAATTGAACTCAGGACCTTGAACTTTCGAGGCAGGCGGCGTAACCACTGAGCTAAATCCCAGGCCCCAGATAAGGTTTATTTCTTTTCTTTCCTCCTCTCCCTTCCTTTCCTTCTTTCCTTTCTTCCTTTTTTTGGGGGGGTACTGGGATTGAACTCGGGTCCTTGCGCTTGCGCAGCAGGTGGCAAAACCACTGAGCTAAGTCTCTGGCAGTTCCAGTTCTTATTTTAAGGACAGGTCTCATTTAGTTGCTAAACTGTCCAGCTGGACTTGCACTTGCCATCTTCCTGCCTCAGCCTCCCTGAGTACTAAAATTATTGGTATATACCACCACATCCAGCCCTTTTATTTTGTCTCCCTAAAAAAAAACTATATATGTATCAATAATTTATACTTATTTTTAATGTTCATCTTCTACTGAACCTAACTGTTCCACTTCTGTCTAGCTATTTTCAAGCTGTTTAAACCTTATTTGGAATGATTAGCCCACTACTACTTACTTGCCAAATCCTGAGTTCAGAATTACTTTGAGCACCTAAAGGTCAGGAAAATCTTCTTCCTGTGTGTTAAAGGATCCTGAAGAAAAAAGAACATTAAAGTAAGGCTCTAGCAGTCACTGGTCCTAGATGTGTAAGTATGGCAAAATTACTCACAAACTATTCAGAAGAATGCCAAAAATCATAGGAAAAGACTTTATGAACAAAACCTCAGTAGCACGAGAACTAGCACAAAGAATCAACAACTGGGATCTCATCTTATTAACAAACTTCTGCACTGCAAAAGAAACCAACAACAGAGCTAGGAGACAACCTACAATGTGGGAAAAAATTTTTAGCAGCTGTACATTAGACAAAGGACTACTATCTAGAATATATAAAGAACTGAAAAAAA